GCCGCGCCAGCCCTCTCTATGCCAGCTACAAGGCTGACAGCTTCTCGGAGCGTGATGACCTCTCCCAGGGCCACCTGGCAGAGTCCCGCTTCCTCCGGGCGGCCGGCGACCTGAGCCTCAGCCCTGGCCGCCCAGCCGACTCGCTGCCCAGCTACGCGGCCGGCGAGGGGGACCGGGAGAGGCTAGGGGGTGCAGCTCTGTGGGGCGGGCGGCAGCCCCGAGCCCGAGCACAGCCCCCACAGCTCCAGGGACTCCTTGGAGCCCAGCTCCATGGAGGCCTCCCCAGAGATGCACCCCGCTGCCCGCCTCAGCCCCCAGCCGGCCTTCCCTCGGACTGGCGGCTCGGGGCTCAGCCGTAAGGACAGTCTCACGAAAGCCCAGCTCTATGGAACCCTGCTCAACTGAGCAGCCGCGTGCCGGCCTCGGCCACGGCCACAGCCACCCCACACACCGGGTCCCGAGGGGTGCAGCCTCACCTCCCTGACCCCCAACCTCCCGGCCCCGCAAACAAGGACCCCTATCCACCTAACCCAGTCGAGCCTGAGAGGGGGACCCCAACCCACGTGTCTCGTCCGCCCCTGCGCCACCACAGTGGAACGTTTTTCTCACACCAACAGCCTTCCCCACCTGAGATGAGCAGTCCCCCCTTTTATAAAGTGCAACTATTTTTATAGAGCAAAAGGGTCTTTCTTAATGCTCTCGGCCTCCAGCCCCCTGGATGGCAGCCTTGGCGTTTTCAACATGAAGGTCCTTTATTTTCGGGTGAGAGCAAGTGGGGCCTGCCCCTTGGAGGGAAGGACGGTGTCCTGTGGAGACACCCCAGCAAGCTAGTGACAGGGGAACCCTGAAGCTCTGCCCACAAAGAGGGGAACTGGAATGGGTGAAGGGATGTGAAACGTTTTCAGCTGTTCTTGCTGTGTGGCCGACCCCCCCAAGCTCTCCTGTGGTCCATAGTCCCGAGTGGGGCCGGTGCTCGCCCCCCAGTGTCCCGCTCCCCGGCACCACCTCGCTCTACCTCAGATGTAATGAGGCCCTCTGACTCCCAGTTTCTGTAGCTTGCTTTCTTGTTGTCTGTGATGCATGCCCTGTCTCAGTACTGTATTTTGCATTCATTAATAAAAGACATCAGTGGAAAGAATTTGGCTTTGGGTCATTTCTTCTCCCCACTGCCTTTGGATCTTGGGACGTGTGGCCCCAGATGTCCCACCTGTCCTCCCCTTTTTTTGGCTGGGGTGGGCTCTGGCAGCAACACTCCTTCCTGCCCTGGTATGTTGTCGTCCAGTTTCTGAATTCTTCCATTGACTCAACCCACTAGACGTCATCACTGCCCTTGGATACAGCATTCCTTACAGTCTCCCACATATGAATACTCCCTCCTTCCTGGCATCCTCAGCCTTGTCTCCTGCCTAAAGATGCCTTAGAATTTCCTCTAGTGCAGCTCTGCTGGCAACAAACTCCCACTTTTGTTTGTTTGTGTTTGTTCTTCCCTCTGAAGATGTCTTTATTTTGCCCCATTTCTGAAGGGTATTCTCACCGGGGAGCATGTGAGCGGGGGTCTCCTTCCCTCAGTGCACAGAGATGTCCCCTGGTTCTTGTTGGTGTGGGACTTGGTCTCGGTCCCTCCAGGAGCTGTTCCTTTGATGCTGATCTGTCTTTTCCTCTCCAAGATCTTCTGTTTAACTTCGGTTTTCTGCAGTTTCCCTGAGGTGTGTCTGGTGGATTTCTCCTTGGGAATTCACAGGGAGTCTTGTATCTATGGACTGGTATATTTCATCAGTTCTGGAAAAGTCTCACTATTTAAAAAAATATTTCTCTGCTCACTCTCCACCTTCTCTCCTCCTGGGACTGCCATCAGAACCTCCGACCACAGCCTCTGTATCTGCGGCCCTCCCTCAGTATGGCCCACGTGTTGGGGGTCACGGTGCTCCGTCTGCGTTTGTCTTCCAGTCCACTAATCCTCTCCTGCTGTGTCCATTCCACAGCCAAACACAGCCGCTGCATTTTCAGTTTTAGTTTTACTTATTAATGGTTTCCATTTCTAGAAGTTCAATCTGGTTGTTTTACAAACCCACTGTGCCGCTTTCTAATAGTTGCCTATTCCCTGGAGTTATCCCCAAGCTTTCATGTCCTTAAACACAGTGGGCACGGCTGGTCCACGGCCTGGGTCTGGCCTTTCCACCATGTGGGGTGTGTGTTGCTCTTTCTCCTGGTTCCTGCCCACGTGCCTGGTTAGTCTTGAGCGTGCTCATCCATGCACTTGTGAAAGTTCCACAAGGCCTAGGATGGAGGCCCCTCCTCCAGGGGGCTTCTTCCCAGGGGGTTGGGCACATCCCGCTGGGAGGGAACCACCTCCGCCCAGGTGCACACCTGAAGTTCCCCAGGCCACCCAGCCTCCTGTAGCTCCAAGGTGCCTGCGCTTGATCTGCCGCTGCAGGAGAGGCCAGAGCCAGCCAGCTGCCTGCCCCAAGGGGCAGATGTGCCCCAGGAAGCGACCTCTTGGGGAGGGGTGGTGGCAAGGCTTGGGAGTCAGCTCCCCTCTCTGAGGCCCACATTCCCTGTGGGCAGACAGGGAAGCAACCCTCACTGAACTAGGGGGCACTTGGGAGGGTAGAAGGGAAAACACGTGGCCCCTGGTGCCCAGCAGGCACGCATCAGGGGTGTTCCCAGGGGGACCCTGAGCCTCATCAGCCCCACGTGGGCTATGGGACTGGACAGCAGGGCTGGGAACCCCCAGGACTTTGCAGTCAAGGCCCAGAGGGCCCTCTCAGATTCAGGGTCCAGGCCCCCACATTGTCACCTCAGAGCCTGAGCACCCTCTCCCCCAGATGCCCAACAGGCCTCACAGAGCTGTCCTGCCACAGCCTCCAAAGCCAGCCACAGCTGGTATGGGGTTCCCTCTCCTCCTCTACCACGTGCCCCTCTCACTCCACTCCGAATCCTGCCTCTCCCCCAGTGGGACCATCTGTGTCCCCACCATCATTCCACCATCCCCGTTTCTTCTCAATCCCCAGCAGGCAGTGCAGAGCGGGCTCTGCCACCGGCTGGCTGTGACCTTGGGCAAGTCCCGAGCCCTCTGGGCCCGTATCCCTCTCTGGAGCCTGAGGACACTGACTCATGAGATTCCCAGGGGACCTCGAGGCAGCTGGCTGTCCCGCTGTCCCCCAGGCTGGGCGGGAGGTGGGTCCCGGAGTGGGCGGAATGATCACAGACTCCCTTGACCTGCCCCTCTGCCCTCCAAGCAGTAGTTTCCTCAACCGGACGGTGGGGATCACGGCCACCTCACAGGGGCTGTGAGCATGAGCCTCACTCAGCGACGTCACGGCCATGCCTGACACCACACACAACCACACCGGCATCTCAAGATGAAATGTTCTCCCATGATGGCTTCAGATCTGTATTTCAGATTTACGGGTGAGGCAAAGTTAAGCACTCGGCTCCAGGAAGGTGGGTAGAGGGGCAGCCCACACTTCTTTTCACTCCTGCTCTACACTTTCTAAATTTAGCTCTCTTATTTTAAAATTGCAAATGGTGAACTCCCAGACACCTTGCAAAGGATCAGAATGAGTCTTGAATGCTCTTTGGAAGAAAGCACTTAGAAAAAGAAACAGATAAGGGTATGGAGAACACCTGCCTTTCTTCCCAATAAAACAAGCTAAGAAGGGGTGGGGCTTGCAGGAGACATTTGATTTGGGGAAATCAAACCCACAGGGGAGTGGAGCTTAGAAATAGCCACAGTGGTTTCTGGAGAGCCCGGGATGTCCCCCTGTCCCAGGGGGTCAGAGCTTTGATTGGTTCAAGGTGATCAGTGTGGAAAACAAATGGACTTTCAGGACAGAGATTTGGATGGCGTTTGCCCCAGGAGAAGCTGAGGGGCTTTCCTCTGCAAGACCTCCCCTGCTCGCTCCAATAGGCCCACTTAACAGATGAGGAAACTGAGGCTTAGAGAACCAAAGTGCCCACAAAGGCCCCATGCAAGCAGGTGGCGGGGCCACAGTCTCTTGGCCTCAAATCTCACAGGGACGCAGGCAGCCAGGGCGTGGGGTCAGCACAGGAGAGAGGCCAGCTAGGGAGCTCAGTGAGCGGGGAGTTCATACCCCAGCCACACCCCAGCACCCACGCAGAAGCCAACTAAGTACAGTCCGTAACTGATGCTCATTAAATACATGAGTGATCACATTACCATAACACGGGGGAAATCAACCAGCAAATCATGCAATGACACTCCCACTCAGAAGATACTCCACAACCAGGAGGGCAGAAATAAGCCTGGTTCAGGCTGGACTGGAAAGCAGGACGTCTGGACTGCAGGGTCAGAGGCTGGATGCAAGGTGGGGCAGGGAAGGCAGGCACCCTGGGAAGACCAGGCCCCCGGCACCCCAGATGAGTGCAGCCTTCCCTCCCGGCCTGTGTTCACGTTTATTCACACATCATCAATCCACCCACAAGCCCCTGCTGAGGGCCTGTGCAGGCTGGACCTGGGGAGACACACCTTCATGAAAGTACTGGGGGTCCCGCCTCCTTCCCTCTAGCTGCATAGTGGCAGCTCCGCCTGGCCAAGGACCCCTGGTCTGGGACGAGCGTATGACACCCTGAGACTTGTCACCTGGCAATGGGGAAAGAAGGTGGGCCCTCACTGGGGTCTTGGGCCATGAGAGTGAACCAGGACGAGGCTGACACCCAGAGAGGGTCAGAGGGCGTCCTGCCAGACCAGGTCTGAGGATGGAGCCCAGCCGCACCTCTGGTCTAAGCTGGCTCAACGCGTGCATCCGGGGCTGGACTGACCCTGATACTGATCGTCACTAACACGGAGACTCCCAGCGGCTGTCTCCTGAGTCCCTATACACACAGGTCCTGCCAAGAGCGATTCAGACCCAATCTCATGAGACCCCCCCCAAGCTAGGTACTATTCTCATTTACAGAAGGGGAAACTGAGGCACAGGGTGGCTGAGCACTGACTGTGGCCGCACAGTAATGAAAGGTGGTGGCAGGGTTGAAGTCCACGTCTGTGATCCCAGAGCCCACGTCCTGTGGCTGGTCACACAGTTATTCACGGAATGCCTCCTTCCTGGAGGAGCAAGGATACAGCTGGGAGCAGGGCCCTGTGCACTGCGCACGCGTGTGCTGTGGGGGGCGGGGTGGCAGCATCAGGAGGGGCGGGGCTCTGGGCACAGGCAGGTCAGGGAGGCTTCCCTGAGGCCCACTGTCTTTGCAGAGCCCTGAAGGAAGGGGGTGGAAAGAGAAGCCCCGCAGAGGGGCAGTGGGAACAATGGGAAGGAGTTGTGATCTGGGAAGGCTTCACAGAGGAAGTGACCCCAGGACGGGCTTCTTGGGCACAGATCTCCCCTCACAGAGCAAGACAAGTCATCCAGGGCCTGAGGGATGAGGCCAGAGAGTCCACTGCCTGCACCAGGCTCTGAATGGACGCACATTCAGCCGCCCCTCTGCTCAGGATGGGGCAGCCCCTCGTGGGGGCCTCCACCTCTGAGAGGGTGCTGGGCATGTGGTACAATTATCTTTCTCTTCATCAAATCAGCTACTCCTGAGCCTAAAAAGAGACGGTGATCCCCCCTGAGCTCCCACCACACCCACGGCATTCAGGGTCACTGGGACCCCGCGTCCTGCAGGGGACTGGGCAGTTCACTCCCTTCACCCTCCAAGGGCCATAGTGTAGGGGGACACCTGGGATACTGGGCTAGCTCCCCACTCCAAAGCTCAGCTCTTGCCTCCACCCTGGCTCAGGAATACAGCGGGTGCTGCATCCACTCAACACCCACTGCGCACCAGGCTCTGTGCTGACCGCGGGGGGTGAGGGGGAGGGTGAGAGATGGGAAAAATGCTGGCCCACCTCGGGGCCTCTGCACTGCCTGTCCCTCTGCTTGGGTGTGATGCCCTGCTTGTGCACCCGAGAGATTCCCGAAGACCCCGGGGCAAGTTAGACACACAAATAAATGTTTACCCACCAGCTCACAGCAAGCCCCAGATGCCCCTCCCAACCTGCTCAGCCCCACTCCCTGGACTGGAGCTCCCAATGTGCCCACACCCACTGCACACTTGACCTTCTTGGACCCTCCTAGCAAGCCGGCAGGCTGGGAGGGCTGACACCACTTTATGGATGGGGAAACTGAGGCTCAGAGAGGA